ATATATAGCAAAGGTAGGTAAGAAATTAAAAAACAAAGTCTAATTAACCGAGCCTAATATTTTAGGAGGCATTTAAAGTAGAGACACATACTAGTTCTTCCCCACAAGTAGTATGTTATACCAACATAATCTTAAATTTATCCTAGAGCTGTTTGGAATTACTTGGGAATAAATGTACCTCTGTAGAAATGAGGAATAAATGTATCTCTGTAGAAATGAGGGTTAGTTTGCAAACAGTAGTTTTTGAATAATTGATTTGTAACTTATTTCAGCCAACTCTAGGCAAGAACTCTGTTGATTCAAGTGGGCTAAGAACTAACTGTTGTATATGCAGTGTTTTGCATGTCCAAACAAAACATGACCAAAGTTTAAAAGCATAGAACTTTTATATAGCAAAACAATCATTGGTTCACCTTGCCTGGGCAAGATTGTTTCCTACAGGACAGGGTATGCTCTGTCATGAACACTAATAATGCCAGAAAATTGAAGTATTGGCTATAGAATACATACAAAAGGGTTTCATTTATTAAAATTACAATGAATATTCCAATTCCTTTTCCAGTTCCTTCTCTAAAATTATTCCATTCATGTCTCATGATTCACATGTCTCAGATCTGATTAAATAAATTTTGGAATTTAAAGCAGAAAAGGATGTGATCATGCATAGGATTAAAGGCCCCATTGAAGTCAGCAGCTGTTACATTTTCAGTGCTAAGCATGCATGCTGAACAGAATGGCCAATCTAAAAACTACACAGGCAGCCTATCTTAGTTAGAACACTTAGACACTCATAGTGTATGAATGTGCAGCACTGCTGTTTTAACAGTCCTGTATGGTACAAGATTTGGAAAGATCCAATTCCAGAGTAAAATACAGAATAAAAAAGATGTATCTGATATACCATATGCATATTCTAAATAAAGTTTTGAGCTTAATACTAAATGGTAGAGCACTTTAAAGTGAAAGTATTCAACAGTTATTTTTTTCCTGTTGCTATTTCTGGATATAACTTTCTTCTGCAATCCCATGTCCTGTTTAGTTTCTCCAGTTGGAAAAGAGAGAAAATAACATTGACACAGAGATGATGGAGCTAAGCAACAGACTTTGGTGTTGGATCCAGAATTAAGCAGCATTCAGATTTGAGGTTTTGGTGTAGTGCCTCATTGTGGAAAGGGCTGGCTGCAAAATTAGTATCCAGATTAAAACTTGCTGTTAGTTTGGATGTTGTTTGATTTAGACAGGTTTACTAAGCAAGAGATAAAAGTACAAGGAATACAAGGATTGTTACAAAGAGAAGCTTCACAAGTAAATGGCGAAGCTTAAAGCACTTGCCTAAGGTGGAAATGTTTTTCTTTCCTTGATTCTTCTGTTAAAATGAATTTTCTTTGCTTATGCTGAGCAGAAAGGGAAAAAACTAGGTGTTTATATCTCGCTTCCATTAGGTAGGACCTGAAAAAAAATGAAGCGATCCCTGCCCTTCGTGAGCTTCTGGAAGAAAGATAATTTCCCCCTTTCATGGGCTTAGCTGGTTTTCAGGAGGGCATGTCTAGTGATTTGTTGCAGCTGGGCATGATTTTTGACATGTATTGCCTTTCTCTGCATAATGACCCTTTCTCCAAATTTTGAAAAAGAAGGAGGAGAGCACCCTGAAACAGAAGAGGGTCACCAAATATATGAGACCGCACAATCTTGCTGCACCTGGAACTGAAAAAAATGCAAGGTACAGCCTCACTTGTTTTTATAGTTGTCTGTGTCAGAAGAAGATGCATAGGGAAGCTGATAAGCCACTAGGGGTGCAGACAGAAGTTATGTTTGTCACATGTTTAGCCCCTGAAAGTGCTGTAAAGCTGTGCTGTGCATGTGCTGCAGAGTATGGGTGTGCGAAATGAGCCATATTCAGTTTGGATTTGGATTCAGCCCGGGTCAGCGACGGTTATTCG